CTCATATCCGAATACAATTATGAGAATGAAAGTGAAAGCGTACATGAGTTTATCATTGAGAATCACCTCAGGTTTGTGGGCATATGATCTTTCAATTTGTAGAGTTTCTTATGATTCATTGAATCTCCTCTGACAGGATGAAAAGAGAATTTTACGGATGAACCATTTTCAGATTGTCTACAAATGAGGACCATAAACTCTATAAATATCCTTATGGTTATTTCATAGTTTTCAATATTCTAATTTGTCGTCTAATCAAATTAGATATTAACTTATGGTATCTACACAGTAATATTACATTTATGTTTTTAACTACAGATTTATTATTAATTAGACCACTACAATTTTGACTAATTACTTAATGATCCTAATATTTATAATATTATAATTGTGATCAAAATATTCTAACGATTAATTCGAAAATACTATTATTATTTTTATTATTATTAAGATTTTTAATATTATTCTTTGTATAATTACTAATTTAAATTAATATTTTTAAATTAGAAATTAAGTGAGAATAAAAAATAAAGTTGAAGAAGAAAAGCAAGAGTCACGTATGACCTATGATATAACATTATGAGCTCGTTTGATTCGTGTAAACAACCTATCAACTTTGTCGGTCTTATTTGGTTTTACCTCATGCAACAACAAAAAGAATTAAAACCAAATTTTAATATACTTTATTACTCAAAACTTTAATACTTTTAAGAAAAGGAATCCTCACAAAAATAATTTAAAAGTTCCCTAACCATAATACAATTGTCAAAGTTTGTTACCCCAAGGATGCATGATATGTTTAGTCAATCTGTCAAGTTAGAAGTAACAAATAAATGACAATAACTGTAAAACTGCCTCCTTAACAGGGAACTAAACATTTCAAACCGAAAAGTAACTGTTAGACTGAAATGGATCTTTTGCCTCGGATCCCAAACTTATGTCCCTAAATACTACCTCATTAATGTCATTCTATGCTCCCTAGTGTTTCTGTTTGTTTATTGTTTATCCCCATAATTACAAGACATTTATATGTTAATTAAATTTAAGTTACTTAATCCAATGAAGTAAAAGCACAACGTCTTACTTTAAAGTGATTCATCCAAGCATGCATACATAGTAGATACATTATTTTATTCCTTATCCCATTTTCATTGGTTTTCCAATATTTCTATTTTCTATGGGACCAAAGATAGCAAAGATAGTAATAGTTTTAGGTGATTCACTATTAAATAATTAAATAAAATAGATGTGTAAATAATTTAGGAGTACGATGATAATCGTAAGAGGATAAATGAGAATATAAGGAAAATATCATAGAAAGGGTCTAAGTTAACAAATAAAATAAGGAAGAAGTGTCAGTCTGTAGCATTCGTGAAAAGTTGGGACAATGTGAAGCGGAGTCTAGGACATAGAGGAACAAAAGTGACATTCATCCATAGAATTTGAGATTCAAAGTTGCTAAGTATTCAAGGTAAGAGTGGGTAATTGTGATGAGTTATGATTGATATAAGGGTAGAGTAGACATAAGTTTTGTTATCTATGTGATTGGTGATGAATGATTTGTGATGAAATTATTTCGAATGATGTTTGATATGCCATTGATTGATGTTTGAAGTTTGTGATCTTAAGTGTTAATGTTGATTTAGAGATGATGAATTGATGTTGTGATGTGTTTAATTTTTCTTGATTCATGTACCATACGATAAGATATGTTTTGGGTTTGATGGAGGTCAAAACTTAGGGTTTGGGGGTCTGTTGGTAGGCTGAAAAATAAGAGAGATCGAACAAAATCGTGTGGAAAAAGTGTTTTTCCGGGCTCTATTACGGCTCGTAATAGCTGTTACGGGTGCTCGTAATAGCCCTCTGGATTTTCTACCAGAAACGTGCGAAAAATGAAATTCTGGAATAAGATCATTACAAGTCGTAATAGCCATTACGAGTGGCCGTAACAAATCTCTGATTTTTATACTGTAAAATCATTTTGGCCATAACTTTTAAACCGTAAGTCCAAATCAAGTATCTTCGAAGCATTGAAAAGCTCATAAACAGAACTATAACATATTTCGATCTATGCAGTCTGTTTGATTACTAAATATATGCTTATTATATTTAAATTGTCTATATTATTTATTAATAAATTGTTGTGATAATGTTGTGGTATGCCTTATTTTCTATGGTGATGATTCAAATGCAGTTATTTTTTTGCGTACACTATGTTGATGATGTTGCTATGATGTTGTCATGTCGTTGTTGCTAAATTGTCGAACATATATGTGTTGGTGTATGCTATATTGATGATGATTATGTTGTTGAAGAAACACTTGACTAGTCGAGGTCGAACCTATGTGTGTTGTTGTTGCAGGATTGAGCATCCATGTTATGGAACTTATGTTCTGAATTATGTTGGGGCCTCATTTCATATGGTGATGGTTCGAATGCGAGTAGCTAAATCCATTGTTTGGAGATTTGGTGAAGCGTTACCTATGGTGATGGTAGCGATTTGGTGTACTCCAGTTTCAAGAGGGAATCAATTCTATGGTGGGGATCATGGAGTGAAATGAACTTAAGTGTTCATATTTTGGTACCACATGCATTGTATCAATATTGTTGCATTTAACTTCTTATGTGGCATTTGCATAAAGTTGTTGTTGAATTATGATGTGATGATACTTGTGCTTATGACATAACTATGTGTAAATGTTGTTTTAAAGGTGTTGTGTGAACTATTTATGATGAATGAAGATGTGAGTATCTGTTGTATTGATGATGTTGAATTGTAGACTATAATGGTTGAAGTTTACTTTTCTCTTATGCCTTTTATAATTAATCATGATTACTCACCCCTTCTGTTTGAATGTTGCCTCCACGTAGATAACGTGCAAATACTCAGGAGCAGCTTGCTAAAGTAAGGATGACAACTCTTGGAGTATTTTAGTAATTTTCCTTTATTTAAGAGGTGTCTTGCTCTGATATGTAACATCGGATGGATAACACTTGTTGAATAATTTTTGTGTTGCTTTTATGTTGAAATACTTGTATTGATCTAGATTGTTGAACTAATTTTGTTTCAGCTCTTTGATGAGACTTTATGTCATGAGTTTGGAAGTTGAGAACAATTATTTGATGATGTTTTTGCTGCGATGCTTTAATACGATATTGAAGTTGCATAACTATAATGAATGTTATGCATTATGAAAAGTTGATATTGTTGTTAAAATCCGTGTTAAGGAGCCGGATTGATTATATGATGTTTTTATGACGTGTGACACCCTTTTGTTGTTATAATAATTATAATTTATTTGTAAATAGTGTATATCTTTCGAAGGGTGTTACATAGTATACCTTCAACCAATCACATAATACTATTCAATTAAAACACATTTAATTATTTATTAAATAATACAATTATTCGTTGCTTTCAATGCATTTTAAACTAAGGGCAATCTTATTCAATTTTTTGAATTGGGTAAATAAGAATTCACCATGTTTAAATTGTAACTTGGTAGTTCATCTAAATTTTTTTTCCCAAAATGGTTCTAAAATATTTATTAACATTTTTTAATTAAATATAATTTTACTTTTCCATTTTTGTTTAAAAATAAAGAGTGTATGAGAATATAGTGGAGGGTACGATCCTAAAATCTAGAATCATTTTGTAAAAAAATGAGGGTTGACGTACCTGGTATATCCTATACTCTTAAAGTCTAAAATTTGTAAAATTTCATATCCACACCTATAAAATCTTTAAAAAAACACACGACAACAAATAACATATATAATAGAGAATACATATCTAAAACTCTAAGTCAACATGTGAAAAAATGAAAACAAATTTGACATGTCTAACAAATCGGACCCAATTAATCACCCCTACTTTATCATAATATATTGTAACCTAATGAATTATGATAGAGCCGTTGTAGTCTTGCAATGTAGTTTATAGTGTGAATACTATGGCCTCCTATTGTGAATATTTACCATAGCTACAATATTGCGGCAACATTTTGTAACCAATTTGGAACCATGGCTAGAACACCAATTTTAATTTTTTATTTATAAAATGATAGTTTTCTTAGGATTGTGGGTTTGGGCCTCCAACCTTATTTGTTGGTATGTTTCTTTAGTTGGTATGTTTGTTGTATATTTCTTTGTTGTGTTGTTTAACACTTTTTGTCCTACCAATTGCTAGTATCTTTATGTACTTTGGCGGTTTTTACCATCTTATTATGATATTATTAGGTCATTAAAAAATATTATGAATAACTGGTTTGGGATTATAGACAGGGGCAATAATTAATAAGAAGAAAGGTGGTGAAAAAAAATGTAGGATATTGATCTGTTGTATTTGGTCTGAAAAAGGAAAAGACAGCACTTTGGGTGAAACCCCAAAAACAGCAACACATAATATCATTACATCAAGTGGTCCTTTCCACTTAATTTTTACCCTCTCTCACTGACACTACCAATCCATCAAAGTGTTATCAGTGCTAGTCCAACCTCAGTAGTATCACTGATCACTGAGTCCCTCGAAACAGATTAAATTAACTCCCCCTCTCTTTTTCTCTGTGCAATATCTATGGCAAGTGAGCAAATGCAAAGTTTGTGAACAGTACAATCTGTGACTGCCCTTGTCTGCATGTGTCTCTCTCTCTCTCTCATCTGCAGTCACTGAATACTCTTGACTACCGTCCTTACCTTTCGTCACACTCTCTCTTTCACTCTCACTATCACAAGAAATTAATAAAACTTCATGCATTCAATGCAAGAACCTTAGCTTTCATTTCACTGTTTGTCTCACACAACAGACAAAACTACACTACAATCTATAACAATCATAAATACAAATCTTATACAAGACAAAGTAAAACAAAATTTGAGTTCGCATTAGTTAAAGTTGTTTTAAATCACAAATACAGTCTCACATGGAAAATCACGGTCAAATGTATAACTAATGCATGCATACACAGAATGTAACTAACCGCGATGATATGTTATTAATATTAATTAAAACCAAAAATTATTCCATCCATGTTATCAATATTATCATCATCATCATCATCTTCATCATTTTCATCTCCTTCAAAATCGTCATCGTATTCATCACCTAACAAAACTTCCTGATCTTCACAACTCTCGACGGTGTGTGGAGCGTGACCGTCACCGAAAGCACGAACATGATCTTTGAGTGATCTCTTGTGTTTGAAGTCAGATCCACAGATGCAGAACCAAAGTTTTCCACAGTTTTTCTCATGTGTTCTCCAGTCTCCTCTCACTGCAAAGGGTTTCCCACACTTTCTACACCCAAATGGCTTTGCTCCATGTTTCCTCTTGTAGTGTGTCTGAAGTGTCCTGAAATCCTTCAGTGGTCTTGACCTTGGATGCTCTATGTTGTTTTTGCATCCCTCTGCACAGCAATAGCACGGAAGCCTCAACATGGATGAAGCTGGTTTTACTCCCCTTAGAGATTCTGGTCCTTTCCTATATTGAGACCCATGTCCCCACATATGCATCTGATATATATATATATATATTGAAAAATCCATTAAGTCAAATATAAAAACAAAATGAAAGTATTTTGTGCTTGACTTGTTCATTTTTAGTTAATTAAAATACAAAACTGCAATAGTCTTTCTTCTAACTGTTGTTCTCTTTTTAAATAGTACTAGTATATATTAATAAATATTGTCTTAATTATTGTAATAAATGCTTATTAATGTGTGCTGGACTACTAGCTAGCTAGACAATAGGTTTTGTTGACTAACCTGCATGTTGTTGAAACGGTTGAACATTTTATTGCAGACTGTGCAAGAGAACTGTGTTGGTCCAATAAGGATTTGAGCAGGAGAAGGGATCCAATATTGACCTTGAATCGGAGCGGAAGGAAAATGATGATGATCTGGTTTGGTAATAGTTGTGTTGTTTTGTGATATGGTGGTTGGAAGGCCAATGCGAAGTGCGACTGTTACACCATTCTGGTCATCACCATCAGTGGTAAGGTTTTGGTGATGATTATGATGCAGAGTAGTAGAAGGTGAGTGATTTGTTGTGGACAATAGTTTGGGTTTGTGGTGAGTACCAGGAGGGCCAAGTGAGAGTGAAATGGAGGACTCGTCAACAGTATCACATGTGTAGGAGAATGAGTGAGATTGCATGGTGAGAAATATGGTTGATGGGATGGTGTATATAATATAGTATATGATAGTATGTTGAATGAATGAGTGAATAGTTGGTATAGGAGAGAGTGGAGTTAGAGAGTAAGAGGGACAGAGAGAGTGTTTTGAGTGAGCTTGTTTTTGTGAGATGCTAAGTGGGGACGAGAAAGCCAATATATAAATAAACAAATCTTCTTCATTCATCCATGTATTTTGGCTTTTGTCATTCCATCTGTCAGATTAATTCTTCAGGAATTCTTAGACTATGCACCTTAAAAAAAAAAACCCTCTATTTTCATATTGACATAAGCTCTAAAAAATAATTTATTTGAACACTAAAAACTCTTTTTCATTGCTATCTACCTTAAAAAAAACCTCTATTTTCATATTGACATAAGATCTAAAAATAAGCGTTTGTAAGGGATGTGCAACGACCTTTTTTTTAATGTAAAGTTGTTAAATTATTTCTTTTTTTTAATGTTTGAATGTGAAAGTTTTGAGAAAAAAAGTATATCTTTCTATGTTTTTGTTATGGAAAATTAAATATTATTTATTATTCATATTACTTAAATTATATGATTAGAGAAACTTAAACATTAGCTTCAATATCAAATATGAAAACTATTAACAAAAATATAAAATAACTTATCTTAAAACAAACATTTTAACATCTAAATGACATAGACAAAGCATAAGTATTTTCTAAGTTATAAATATAGATTAATAATATGCATCAATGTTTATGCATTAATTTAAATAATATTTTTAAATATTTATAAAAATAATACACTTATTTGATAGATTTAAGCGCTTTAAATTCGTGTATTAGTTTATAAAAATAATTATAATTTATTTTTGTTTATAAAAATAATTATATCAATAATAGATTTTTTTTTCGTTTATAAAATATTTATAATTTATTCTCCTTTATAAAATCAGTTGTACCAACAGAAGACTTCTCCCATTTATAAAAGTATTTATAATTTATTTCCGTTTATAAAATCAATTATATCAACAATAGACTTATTTTTATTTATAAATATATATGTAATTTATTCCCGTTTATAAAATCAACTTTATCACTTAGATATTAGATTGTCTATTTTATAAAATATAATGATTATAAAAAATTACAAATAAGAGAAAACACAATTAATGTATTATATATTTTAAGTTAAAAAATAAATAAAAAATTTGATTTGAAAAAAAATTAATTTAATAAATCGATTTGTATAGAATATTGAAATTAAATATATGATGCGATTGTTTATTTTATATTATTCATAGATTTCTATAATAATAAAAAATCAATAATAAAAATTATTACTACGTGTTTTGTTTTTTAAAAACAAAAACAAAATTTGATTTGGGAATAAATACTATATGGTTCTCATTGCCCTTTTTATTATAAGCACCCTTTTACATATTTTAAATAAAAAAATAAAAAAATTAATTTCTATATTGCTAATATCAAATTAAAATATAACATGTAATATAGAATTGTCTTAGTGTGTTTGAGACTTGTATATTTCGTAGAACCAATCTGATTAATTTATTTATCTTATAAATATTGAATTTAAAATAAAATATATTAAAATACAATTTAAGAAATATAAATAAATATAAATTAAAAATAAAAATGATTTAATATTGTATTAAATATATATTATTCATACAATGCAAATGAATGATATAAATTAAAATAATTTTTTCTATATAAATTAAGAATTGGAATATTATTAAGTATAATTTCAATAACATTCCTAATAATATTTAACTATTAACTTGTCTTTCAGCCATAAACTAAAACCTTTTTAATTTGTATCTTTCCAATAAAATATTGTTGTATCTTAATTATACTTAATTGGATCCTTAATATATATATATATATATATATATATATATATATATATATATATATATATATATATATATATATATATATATATATATATATATATATATATATATATATATATATATATATATATATATATATATATATATATATATATATATATATATGATTAAAAATGAGAAAAATCATCTATAATCAACTAAATACAACTTCTTTAGATAATAACAAATATTACATATTTTTATATACACAAATTATAACATTCAAAATAAAATAAGTAGTTGAGATTGAGAATAGATAATTGGTACAGATATCTGAATAATGAATACATTAAAAAAACTCTAAAATAAAAATTATTAGTAAATGAATTAGGGAAATAAAACTATGTTTTGAGGTATAAAAAAATCTGTATAATTAACTTTAATTAGGGTTATATATATATATATATATATATATATATATATATATATATATATATATATATATATATATATATATATATATATATATATATATATATATATATATATATATATATATATATATATATATATATATATATATATATATATATATATATATATATATATATATATATATATATATATATATATATATATATATATATATATATATATATATATATATATGAGAGAAGGAATATATATGAGAAGGAAATTAATAAAAAATAATTTAAAAGGAATTTAGTGAGTCTAAGTTTAAGTGATTAATTATTTATTTATCAATTGTGTGAGTAACTTTTCTCTTACTCAATGAGTGACATATTTTTATATGAATAATTATAAAAGTATGTCAGTGTATATATGATATGCATGCACCTTTGAATAAAAATATTAAATTAATAATGAATACTTTAAATTTTTTAATTTAGTATAATATTTGGAACCAATCATTTCATCCAAATTTAATAGTCATAGCGGGCCAAACACTCTATTTATAGTGTCATATATAATACCATGTTTAAAATATAAAACAAAAAATTAAAGAGAATAATTATTAAAATAAATAATTATTAATAAATAGATTAAGTAATGAAAGGATGTAAGAAATTATTGTTTTATTTAAGTAACGGTAGGAAATCCACCAAAGTCTATGATAAATTTCTAGCACAATGACAATTTAATTATGAGACAAACAAAGAAAAAAGACAAGACAAATAATTTCTGCAGAGTTTCTCTGCTCACAAACTGTGAAAACGTTCTTATTCACTTTGTAACTGCAAAAATACTGTGAATGACTTGCTTACAAAAATAGGGGTTACTCCCTCTATTTATAACTGAGCTTGTACCCTAAACACAAAGTCCAAAATATCTATTTTGTTACTAAATCAAATCTAATCTATTCTAGACTTAAATCAAATATATTTAAATCTAAACAAATATAATCTTTTCGACACTATGAATTACAATTTAACACACCACCTAATTCATTATGTCTAAACTATCTATATTCATCATGACTCTTAGCTTTCTGAATATTTTGACTTGCACTCCCTTCGTCATGATGTCTGCAATCTGATTCTCAGTTCTGCAGTGTTCCAAATTCATCTTCCTATCTGCTACCTGCTCTCGAAGATAATGGAACCTCATTTCGATGTGCTTACTTCGACCATGTGCTATTGGGTTCTTCGACAGATTGATAACTGACATGCTGTTTATTTTCATGGTAATTGCTCCATGATTTTGCTTGTTATCTCTTCGACCAAGTTCACCATCCAAGTTGCTTGACATGCACAAAGAGAAGCAGCTATATTCTGTTTCTCATGATGATAATGCCACTACTGGTTCCTTTCTTGAATTCCAAGTAACTAGTGCACCACCTAGCATAAACACATATCCTGCTGTTGACTTTCGATCTTCAGCATCACTACACCAACTCGAATCAGCGTATCCCACTAACTTGTATTCTTTTCCTTTATCAGCTGCAGGAAACAAAATGCCATAATCGAAAGTTCCTTTGAGATACCTTAATATCCTTTTCACTGATGCTAGATGTGATACCTTTGGCTTCTGCATGAATCTACTTACAATACCTACATTATATGCTAAGTTAGGCCTTGTATGACAAAGGTATCTCAATGATCTAATAAGTCTTCTGTATTGGGTTGGATCAACATCATCTTCATCTGCATCTTTTGATAGTTGCAGTCTTGGTTCTGCAGGTGTCAAAGTTGAGTTGCATTCTTCCATCTCAAACCTCTTGAGAATTTCTCCTGCATATCTTCTTTGATGCATCATCAAACTTCTACTACTCTTGTAGAATTCGATACCAAGGAAATATGAAATCTCACCCAAATCAGACATTTTGAATTCCTTGCTGAGATCACCTTTGAAGTCTTCGATCTCACTTTTACAGCTACCTGTTATCAACAAATCATCTACATAGAGACATAGTATAAGCAATTTAATCTTGCTTCTTCTTACATATACTCCATATTCAGTTGTGCACTTCACAAATTCCTTCTCCCTTAGGAAACTATCAATTTTCTTATTCCAAACCCTTGGAGCTTGTTTCAATCCATACAGGGCTTTATGCATCATGTACACCTTTCTTTCTTCTTCATTTTTCACAAACCCAACTGGTTGTTTAACATAGACTTCTTCGTCTAAGGGTCCATTTAGGAATTCACACTTCACGTCTATCTGACATATGTGCCAACTGTTTATTTCTGCTAGACCAACAACCAACCTGATTGTTTCGATCCTAGCAACAGGTGCAAAAACTTCATCGAAGTCTATTCCTTCTTTCTGTAGAAATGCTTTGTCCACAAGCCTTGCTTTGTGTTGAATTACTTCCCCTTTCGAATTCGTTTTCACTTTGTATACCCACTTGACATCAATTGCCTTCTTGCCTTGAGGAAATTCGACAAGTGACCAAGTGTTGTTGTCTTCGATAGACTTTACTTCTTCGTTCATTGCTTTCACCCACTTTAAATCCTTCAAAGCTTCATCTGCATTAACAGGTTCGACACCTGCATAGAAAGCATAATGTACCAGCTCACTTTCATCATCTATCACATCATCTGATGTAATTAGACAATCTTGCAATCTTGCAGGCAAGTGTCTTGTTCTTTGAGGTCTGCTTGTACTTGGTATATTTGCTGGTTCCTCTTGTCGAACTT